GTCATTTCTTCTGCTCTTTCTTGACCACTGCTAAGCTCCTCCGGGGAAGTCGGTCACTGCGCTGATTTCCCTCAACACTGCCACATTGTCCCCTGTTGATACTTTCTTGAACAGCGGGCATTTCTGATGGTCTGCTTCAGCTTTTGTGATCTTCTTTTGAAGAATGACCATTCCCATTTTAGCCATCAGTTCAATTGCTGGTTTTTTTATGGGTTTGTATTATGGTTGGTTAGCACAGGACCAGGGAAAGTCTACAGGGCTTCTCAGACCCCTCAAACTCCTGTTTGCTAGGGAGAACTTGTTGGAGTTTGGTTTTCAGCTTTGCTAGCATTAGGATTACCTTACCTTATGACGCTGTTCTTTCGTTTGTTGTTGTTCCAAGACAGTGTTTCTCACTGTAGCCCTGGCTGTCTTAGAACTTGTTTTATAGACCAGGCTGGCCTTGAACTCACAGACATCTGCCTGCTTCTACCACCCAAGTTCTGGGATTAAACATGTACACCATCATACCTGTCTAGGACACAGTTCTTGTTCTTATTAAGGTATCACCTTGTTGGTGTCTTAGCTGGATGCTTGGGATAATGATGATGGAGGGTGTTGATGAGGCCAAGGCATCATGAGATGCTCATCTCAACCTGCAGCATCCCTATTCAACTCTTGACCTCATTGTAGCTGTTGACTTGCAGGTCCTGATACAGAGCACGGCCCTGTGCTGAGTTATGGGAGACTCCTTGTATCCCATCCCTGCCCAGCATCCTCCAATGTCCTAACCCTCAGAGCCAGCCACTGGCATCCTCATCCCTGACCTCTATGTTTTCCATCTAGCAGGGCTGCCGTGCTATGGTCAAATGCTAGCCCTTGGGAAATATTTGTTGGTCATAGAACTTAGCCTGTGAGTGTTCTCTTGCTCAGGATGTAGTCCACTCTCACCGCTTGCCACGCGAACCGTCTGTCACTCTGGTCATTTATATACAGTATGTACCTGTCACTTGTCATTCCTGGAGGTATAAGTCTGGTCTCTGTGAGTAAAGGACTTGAGGCACCAAATGCTCCCACATACCCAGAGACATGTTTTCACGGCTTACTCTCCCATTAATAATTGCTGGGTTTGACATGAGGGGTGGTCTCCGTATTGGCTACTCTCCTGTTGCTGGGATGGAGTACCATGACGGAGTACCATGACCAAAGGCAACCCTACAGAAGGAAGGGGTAAGAGGCCATAGGCCCTCAAAGGCCGCCCCCCCTGGAGCGTGTACCTCCTCCAGCAAAGCTCCACCCGCTAAAGGCTCCACAGCCGCCCCAAACATTGCCACCAGCCAGCCAGAGACCGAGCGTTCTGGGGGAGCTTTTCACATCCAAATCTCCACAACCCCTGCGACCAGAACCCATCCCCAGTGCCTGTGACCTTGACCGGCAAACATCTGAGGAAGGTGAAGGATGGAGAGAGAGGGATCTTCAATCCAGTTGGTCCCCAGTTGATTTTAGAAAAAGCATCCCCATCAAGAAAGCACTTCCTCTGTCACGGCGGCACGTGCCTTGACTCTCTTTGGTATCTTCAGACTGGAGCATTGAACGCTCACCTAGTGTGTAGCATGGGAACATCTGAAACCGTAAATGATTTCTTTACCGTGTAAACATGGACGCACTGCCTTTGAGCTGTGACTCAGTGCCAAAGACCCAGGGCTCCAGACGCATACACAGCCAGCTTCCCCTCTGTCCCCATATCAGTTAATCTAAAAAGTCCAGTAATCTCACGTGATATAACCAGTGTTTGACTAATAGGCCCTTTTAAAAGATAATTATTTTGAAAATGAAAATATTAGGGTTTTTTCCCCCATATACTGCCGGTGAGATGAACTGTCACCATCAAAAATCTGGGCACTTTTTCCTCTTAAGATTATATAACATGTTAGAGAAATTCAAATATACCTTGGATGCAGAGCCACCAATTTCAGAGACAAACACACAAGCGGTGGTAGCGCCCTCTAGTGCCGGAAAGTAAAAAGCACTCAAATGAAAAGCTAGTCAGGGGTTAGAGGGGGAGCTGTGGGGGGGAAGGGGGGGGGGAGAGAGAGCATAGGGTTAGAGAGAAGGGGAGAGAGGAGAAGAAAAAGAAAACAAATGAAAGGAGAAGGAAATATATCAAAGGAAAAACATAGCAGGAAAATATTAGAATACGTAGGGACAGTGGTTAAAGCCACTTGCAGCCAAGCCCGGGTTTGAACCCTTGTGCCTCATACAGGGTGGAGGGGAGCATCGACTCCTAAACATTATCCTCTGACCTCCACTCACATGCGCTCTCTCTCTCTCTCTCTCTCTCTCTCTCTCTCTCTCTCTCTCTCTCACACACACACACACACATATACACACCAATAAATAAACTTAGAAAAAAAACTTTTTTAATCAGCAAGAGGAAATAGAAATTAGAAGCAAAGGAAAAGGATGTGAGAATATTTTTTTATTGGACATCTCCATAGCAACCCTGAAAGCACTGTTTTCCAAACCTATAATATTCTCAAATTGGATTCGCAACCATGACAGTTCATCCAACCATCATCATTAGAATTTGGACACTTCGATAAATATAGAAAAATTCTGACCTGAAGAAAGTGTGTGTGTGTGTGTGTGTGTGTGTGTGTGTGTATGTGTGTGTGCGTGTAATACAACTCCGCATAGTCCTGATTGATCTGATTTAATTTGTGGAAGGAGATGTTCACTGCAGACACTATTTATAGTACGGAAATTGCAAATTCCAGGGTACAGAGTCTTTGTGCAAACCTGATGAGGTCCCTCCCTGTACCTTGTTCTAATCAATACAACCGTGATACAGGCAATAACTCTGCAGGCAGACCTGGGTCCTGTGTGGCCCCAGAAGGGGCTGACTCTCTAGACAGAAGTCCATGTGAATGAGTCAGACAGGAGCAGTCAGAGAAGACTGGCAACTATGCCGCTTCATCCTTTAAGACATTTAAACAATGTGTGGGGGCTGGTGAGATGTCTCAGCAGTTAAGAACACTGCTCTTCCAGAAGTCCTAGGTTCAATTCCCAACACCCACCTGGCAGCTCACAACTGTCTGTAACTTCAAGATCTGACACCCTTACACAGATGCACATGCAGGCAAAACACCAATGCATGTACATTAAAACAAACAAAAAATGTGTGTGTAGAAGTCAGGGTTAAAACAGACACGTGGAAAGATTGCAGAAGTGTGTGTTTGCCCATGCCCATATGTTTGCAGGTGTGAGTGTAGGGTACAGTGGATCATATTCAGGCCCTCGTGTTTGCACAGCAAACATTTCACCAGCTGAGCCTCTCCACAGCCCAGATGGCACCAAATGTCACCATGATCCTAATAAAACATTTTCAACAGAGTTCCAGCCAGTGACACTAACAGTACGTTTGCGCTGTGTGTGTGTGTGTGTGTGTGTGTGTGTGTGTGTTAAGCAAGCCATGAGTCTACCTGGTAAAATGCCGAAGGGGACACAGGTATGAGGGCCTCCGAGAAAAAGAAAACTCACAAGCAAGGAAGCCGTGTGAGGGAGGGGCCGGGAGGGGCTGGGAGGGGCCGGGAGCCTGGGCTGTCTGGCTTCATAGTGCCCCTCCTCTAGTTCACAGAGTGACGCTTGTAACTTTGCAGCCCCGCCTCCTTGTTTCTTTGAGATTCCATTGGCTAGGATGAGACGAGACTCCCCGTCCCCAAGGCTGGCCCCGCCCAGAGCTCCTCTTTGAGTTCTGCTCTATCCCTGAAGCCAGGGGGCTTTCCAAGTCATGTACCTTCCAACTCCTTGGAGCCTTAGAAAGGCTCCAAGGGAACTTGAGAAAGGCCTGCTCCGGGAAGGGTGCGCACACAGCTGGGAACGAAAGAGAGATTTGCAAGCTCAGGCAGTTGCTCTAACTGCCACCACTAAGTTTGTGTTTTCTGGGTTGCCGGTGATGAGTGGCACATCTGGTTGTGCCTATTGGCAGTAACAGGGCATTAGTGTGTGGTTCCAATCAGGGAGTACTGAGCCAGTAAAGCCAATATTTACCAAACATCACATGCGGTGGTGGTTGGTTTGCAGTCAAGAGACCCGAGCCTCAAACACTAGATCCTTCCAATTAGGAGGTCTTGAGTAAGCCCCACCCCACCCCCCAGGCCTTGTGCGCCTTATTCCTTCCTGTTCTAAGAGAAAAATCCAGTATGCTTGTTCCCCAGACATCAGCTTAGTAGTTTGACCCGAGATCCACACTGGTTCCTCCTGCTTGCCATGGTGAAGCTGCCTTCTGATATGGGAGCAGGATGTGCTTTAGGGCTCCCATGTTCTATGTAGTGTCCATCTTCTGGCTGTTCTTAAGCTTCTACACACTACAAAGCCAGGGGTCCCACACGCCAGAAATGTGCTTCACTGCTGTGTCACATCAGCCACCCGTAATCCCAGCACACAGGAGGTAGAAATGGGTACCTGGAGGGAGCTGGCCAAGGCAGACTAACCAAATTGGTAAATTCTGAGTTCAAGTGAGAGAACCTGCCTCAGTCTGTAAGCTACGGGGAAGGGACCTGATTTCAGCCTGCACACACACACACACACACACACACACACACACACACACACACATCACATCACATATAAATACATACACAAAAAACAAAAGGTCTCGATCAACACAAAACAGTGTTCTCTACTGCTGAGGGTGTGGAAATCCTGTGACTCTTTTCTGGGATTTTTTTTTTTTTAGCATCCTTTAAGTGTGGGATGAAGGCCATGCGTATCATAGCTTATAGCTGACATTCCACCCTGGGGGCCCACCAGTGGGTGCCTGCTCCTCCGAGCACTTTATTCAGCTACTCAAGTTTGTGTGTGTCATGTGCCGGGATTTCTCCAGATGTCTGCTCCTTGCCTCCGCCTTACTGACAAGTCACTAACGGTTTCTCTTCTCCCACACCCACCCTCCCCTGTCTCGCCCTCTCCTTCCCTGCCTCCTCTCCACCTTCTCTTTGCTGGCTCCCGCTGCTCTCCAGTGCGACCAAGACCAATGCATTCAGAGCACCAAATTCGTTTTGCAGGCAGCAGCCACCCCTCTGCTTCAGAGCGAGCCGAGCCTCACCAGTGACGAGCTGCATATGCCTGGGAAGCCAGGCTTGGGCACCCCGTGTGCTAGCTTGACACTGGGTCAGCCCACGCCACCCTCCTCCATGCCCAATCTTGCCACCGAGGCCACGCTCTCGGACATTATGCCCCTGAAGGATGAGCACGGGGCCCACCAGTTTCTGACCCCAGACGAGGCACCCTCACCACCAAGGATGCTTGGGGCAGGCAGCCCCCTGACACACAGCCGTACCATGCACATGCTGGGCCTGGCCAGCCAGGACTCTCTGCACGAAGACTCCGTGCGGGGCTTGGTAAAACTCAGCTCCGTGTGACCTGCATGGCCAGCCCTGGGACCACAGATGACAAACAAAAAGAAAACAATGGACACAGCCAAGTGAACATTTTGTTTGGAGTCTGCCCGTTGGGCCCGGGGAGGGAGGATCCTCCTCCTCCGGAGGGACCTGGAATTGGAAGAAGCTGCGTGGATGCAGCACCCCCTGTCGGCTGCTCTTGGGACAGACGCGAGGATGATTTTCAACATTGGTGGCCAGACTGAGATTCACTTAATGTGACGCTACTAATTGAAATCGACCCGCCGTTCCATTTGATCACTAAGACAAAACAAAACAAAAATCCTAAAGGGAAAAGCCGAGCAGACATGGGTTTGCATGCCACACATGTGTCACAGTGGTGGTATTCCAGAAGGTGTTCCCCTTCCTTTCGTTCTTTTTAATCCTGTGAAACCACTCAGAGCGACAGACTGAGCCCATGGGCGGGTGATGCCATCCTGCGTGGACTTAGCTGTATGCGGATGGACGCCCCCTTCTGCAGAGGGCTGCTGGGGTCCGTGCCGCGGACGGATATTTAACCTTCTGTCAGCGCTTAGATGGGGTGTTGTATGTACCACCGTTTGGCAATCCTCGCCTGCTGTGTAATGAACTTCCTGTGGACAGCCAATAAAATGACTCCTCTGCTATTTTTTTTTTTTTTTTGATCTGTATACAGTTGTCCTTAACTACTATTATAAGCAAATAGTCATCTGTTTGTTTGTTTGTTTGTTTACATTATCTCTGGTAAGGAATAATTCAGCACAGCCAAAATTCAGATCTTTGGATTGTGGGATTATAGGGTTACCTCTTAGATGGGAGCTGAGCTTGCCAATAGTCCCCAGCCCTTGACACCCACCCCTTACTGGTCTGTTTTCAAAACAGGCTTATCAGGGTTTGCGCTGCACTTAAAACCACCCACATAGCTGCTGTGTGTGGCAGATGAAGGGAAGGGTATCCAGGGGAAGGGCTGTGGTCTGGTCATCTTCTCTGCTCCGTGTGATGCTGGGTGTTACAGAACCTCACAGGCACACTCACGATCCTCATGAAGTGACACTGGCTCCGTGCTGGACCTGAGGTCACATAGATCGTGCTCTAAGATCACTAAACACAAGTGAGATGGCAATAAGGTGGCTGCTTCACTCCATCTGTCATCCGGAGGGGAGCAGCATCAAAAGGGAAGCCAGACTGTCCGGAAGCAGCTCCGAGAAGCTCGGCACCACCCACTCGCCAGCCCTCTTCTCCAGTTCCACATCCAAAGCCGAATCCACAGAGCCTTGTGAGCATCTGAAAGCAAGGTGCGTGTCTCATTAATGCAAGAAAGTGGGGAGGGTTTTAATCAGGATGAAAACTGGTCATTCTGAGAACAGCTGTAGATGCCTTCTCTGTGATCTTTGTGTCGCCTTCACTATTGATCCCCGTGGCTGGCGGTATAGAAATTGGAGGTGAATCGTATGTAGCCAGGTTTTGTTGTGTAACCTCCTAGACCCCCTGATTATTTGTAATTTAGGACAGAACTTTTCTTAACACGGTGTTCCATCTATGAACAGTGACTCTGCACTAAGTCCCTTCTACACCTTCTCAACCACCCCTGCCCCCTGCCTGCCACCGAGAACAGTGATCTTGGCTCAGCCTCACCCTAGAATCAAGTGTGGTTGGTTTTTCTGTTTCTATTGCGCGCGTGCGGGCGCGGGAAGGGGGGGTGTCTTTAGAGTCACGCCATTCCTGACACCCGTTATAGACCTGTGGCCAATTTCCTGTGGCCAGTCCGTCTTTCAACAGCATCATTTTAAAAATTCCCAAAAGCAATGCTATCGTGACAGATGAGTCACTAGATACAGCTGGCCCTCTGTCTCCTCCTCTTCATATATGGACTCGATCAACCCTGAATTGAAAATACTTGGGGCAGGGCATCTATAGTGAATTGTGTGGACGTCTTCCCTTGTCATAGCCCCGAATTACTATTCTGTAGCACTACACTGTGTTAGATTTAAATCACCTAGGGATGATCCAGTATCTCCAGAATGCTGTGTGTGTGTGCGTGAGTTATATGCAAACACTTCAATTTTCCATATGAGACCCAAGCATCCATAGATTGGGGTTGTGTGGGAATCTAGACCCGATCCCATAAGGAAACTGAAAAACAAATACAGTTACCCTGTTCTAACCCCACCCTCTCTATATAGATGACATTATCATCTAGAGGTTTGGGGAGCTTGGAGAAGATGAATCAAGACTCTCCAGGGTCAAGGGAGAGGTTAACTTGATCAAGACAATTCACTAAAACGATTGAAATTGTAATGCCCATGGCCTTTTCCTCTATTGCTTGAGAGTAAGTGCCTGGGCTCTGGGGGGGCTCCCTCTTCAGTGATGGGATGGGAGAGCATCATCCAGGGAGGTGAGTGGTCTGCATTTCCCATCACCTGGGTCCATCTAGTGTGGCTGAGTAGACCTTGGCATTTCTAAATGCTTCTAGAGAGTTGGCAATCGATTGAATGCTAGCTAGAAAGAATAAGATGAATATTTTACTATGCTATTAAGGCTTGGGCCATTAACACGCATGGGGGTGGGGGTTAAATTTCACCTGCTTTCCATTGTCCCAGGAATGCTCCAGAGACCATAGGCTGCTCAAGCACTTGAAGGTTGGATTGAGCCAGAGTGCCCTGGTCCATACTACTTCCTCTGAGCAGACAGGATGACATGCCATTCTGTGCCAGGAGCAATGAGCTCTGGATGTGATTAATCAGCTATATGCCATCTCCTGCCCCAAGCTAGCAAAGTGCTGCATATCTGTACCCAGCAAGTCTCTAAGAATGACCCCCATCTCTGAGTATTTGCCTGTGTCATCCGGGGTCACTGATGGGTTCAGATGAGGTATAAGGACATGCACGGGTACCCCATGCAACCCCATTCTCCCAGCCATGTTCCGCCAACACCTGAGTGGGTTAGCCTCACTGGGCCTGGACCATCTCTAGGCCAACAGCAAGAAATGAATGTACCACAGTTGCAATAAGTGTCCTGGGTGCAGGACTGGGACACAGCTCCAGGAGTAGCTGGGATGGAACCTTTCAAAGGCTTTAGGGGGCCTCTCCAACCCAGACTTACACATGATCCAGTTCAGCGCTGAGCCTACCCACCATCCTCTTTGGGCCGGGAACACCTACTTCCCAGCCATGGCTTCAGGTTGGGGTTCATTTGCAGGTGTCAGGGGTCGATCTGGATATGATGTCTGAGCTTTCCCAAGTGAGTTACTTTGTGTCCGTTCACACCAGGACGCCCTTCAGCATATACTGAGTTGTTCCAGTAAGAGGAGACTAAAGAGAAATAATCTTGTATCTATTTTCTAGTTAATTCCTCAAAACTATTTTGAAGCTGGGCCTAAATTAAGTCAGCATTTATGTCTTTGCATTAAATGTTTCGGTTGTGGGAACTTGACCATGTTCTTATCCAAAAGGAAGAGAACTCTGAATAAACTTTAATTCCCCATAACCTCCTTCACCTCTCCTGGAGGTCTGTCTATACTGCACCAACTACTGTTTGCCATGCTAGCTCGTATAATTCTCTTGATTTTCCCCCCCTCAAATCTAGCTCTCCCTCCCTCGGCCTCTCCTTTTCTTATTACTTCCCTCGCCCACTCGTTCTATGTAGAAACCCTCCCCCTTCTCAAATGCCTCCCCCTCTCCCCACTTCCCTTCGCCCCCCCCCCTTCCTGTCTCTCCTATTTCTTCCTCCTCTCTGTAAGTTTTCACTGACATAGTAAAAGATGTTTTCTCTCAAATAACCATCACATACAAATACTTTGAAATCCTCTATTGCCGTAGGAAGGGGCTCTGACGATGTGGCCCAGTGAATTTTCAAAAATAACTGCTTGGCGCATTCCTTCATCCAGCCATTAAAAATAACCGAACGATGGAAGATCAGATTGTGTTTGCGGCCACAAAACCAAATAAATGGCTTCACCGGGAATGTGTGTGTGTGTGTGTGTGTGTGTGTGTGTGTGTGTGTGTGTGTACACGTACACATGCGCGTGCACCATCTGATAAGAGGGTGTCTTTCCTAAACCCTTGAGGCTCAGCTTTTTCATTTAGAAACAGCTGGAGAGCAATGCAGAAATCCAGCCCTACCCCCAGTCACTCATTGATGTTCACTCCTCTATATCTTCATCCTCCACCCCCCCCCAACAAAAGCAGGTAGGGATTATGTTTTGCTACTGGTTAAAACAATATATGCATGTATGTATGTATGTATGTATGACCACATAGTAGTGACTTGGAAAATAAGCTCTCCTCTCGGCTCTGCAAAAGAGACGGGCCATGAAGGATCCGCGTGATGTCAGCAGTGCCGTACAGCCTCCTCCTGTTTCCATTCTGCACTTCTTAAAAGCGGCTTTCATTTTAATGGTCATTTCACGGTCCCAAGATAGAGCCTGTGGTTCCAGCACCAAAGCCACGTTCCAGGAAGAGCTAAGGGAAGCAGCCTGCTCTCTGATAGAACACTCCCAGGGGACCCTGGTTTCTCCATGATCGGTGGGAACTCACGTGACCACTCCCAGCCGAGCAAGATACCGGGGCGTAGGTTTTTGCTGAACTCACTGCTACCCCAAATCTTGGGATTCTGTGGGCAAGGAAAAGGGGGAGCTGGGTGCTCGGGGGGTCACCTTGCCCCACATTTAGTGGGGAGCTTCCAGTTTGCCAGTCGTCTTCTCTGATAGCAGGCTCTGCATCTGTGCCCCGATGCCTCTCTCCCTTGAGAACTCCTGCTTGCTAGGGTAAGCTTGACCCGCACCCCCTTCTCTCGCACACACGCTGGAACCCAATATGCAGAGGTTGTTTTTAGCCTATTTTGAGAAATCTCATTGGCAAGCCTATCTGCCCGTGGCATCTGTGTTCTCTGATTGCCATCTAGTCTGTGGACTGAAATTGAATTTGTTAGGTCAGCCTGGCAGCTGATCTACGACAACACACTCTGGAGATAAGGAGAGTAGATGGATTCAGAGGCCACCAAAGGTTGTTCTAACCCCATCTTCATTGAAACGCCACATGGGGTTCCTCATGGACCCACATAATAAGCTCAGATCAGCAAGACCCTATCCATGGATGTCCCCTCCCTCACGACAGGTAAGGGCAGCGAGACCTAGTCCTAGAGCCTAGGAGGTGACAGTGAACGTGAGGAGCCTCTTGGTGACGCACATCACCAACTCAGGTCCATGCCATGCTGGTTTGTGCCTCTGGGTCTGTCTCCTCTTCCCAAGGATACTCTCCGTCCCATACTACACAAGCTGTCAGTCAGGCAGCCTGTGAAGGGAGCCAGGTCCCCTCTGGGCGTGTCAGCCCAGCTGGGATTTGGTACTCCCTCCTGTCCACAGGACTCTGCATCTTCAGAAACAGGAGTGAGTTCCCTGCTGCCTGGGCTGTTGTGTTTGTGTCATGCCTTGTGAAAGATGAGGGCTGGTATTCACTGACTCCCCGACGTGACATGTGTGACTGGTCGTCTTCTCGGGACTTTATTTCAGTCCCCATCGCCTGCCGTGAAGGAGCTGATTCTTTGAGAGATGGGTAAAGAGCTGTGCTTTTTCTAAAAGAGGAACCAGTGGAATTTTTCCCCCTTTCATTTCCTTTACAAACAAACAAACTAGAATCCACATCCTTTC